GGGATGGCCACGCCGCAATCCCTTCTCCATTCTCCTCTCAGGATCTTGGGCACACATGCACACGTGCCCGGCATGAGTTTAAGCCACCGGTCGACTACATGGGAGTCCAGTGACATAACCATTACGCTAACTGCCGGTCCCTCAAACTGCACTCTTGACCATGTGGCATTCAGCCGCCTTGACCCCCCCACCCCACCCCCAGCTGGCTTCAAAGGCTTTTTAAAGACCTTGGTGAGATGACTCCGTTACTCTGCATGCATCTGTCTGGGGCTGAGCCACAATATCTGGAGTGAGCTGAGCTGGGCGAGGGAGAACATTCTGGTAATAGACCATGAGCGTGTGGGGCAGTTGGTGGAGGTGACAGGCTGGAACCCCTGCGTGACTTGGAGCCTGGCGCACCCCGGGGCCCTGCAGGGACAGCCTCGTCTGTGCTGTCCTCTCTGACCAAGTTCGGGCCCACGGTGGACAGCGTAGCGTGGAAGCTCCGCGGAATGCAGCGCCCCAGAGGCATACTTCGGCAGGGCTGGGCGGGGGGTCAGGGAGGGCCTGCCTGTGGCTTCAGGGGGTGAGTCGGGCTGGGGAGGACAAGCCCGTGGTGAACCCCGCTGCTGGCAGTCATGGCTTTGGGGGGACACGGGCCTGCTGCCAGGCGGGCCCCCTGCCGAGCCTGCGCCCTACGGGGCCCCTTCCGACGGTGCAGGGTTTTAAGAATTACGTCTGAGATCTCCAGGTGAACGTTGAATTCCTGCCAGAGAAGGGTAACGGAAATAACTAGCAGGGGCGTGGCCTGGGAGTGTAAAGCCCGGTGGAAAAAGTTGTAGGTCGGGCCTGGGGCTGAGGGCCTGGCCACTACGCTGGGAGACATGCCTTTACCTATGTGGGCAGAGTGGGGCGGTCCTCAGGCTCCGGCTGGGACCCCGAGTCTCCAGGCCAGGCCACGGCCTGCAGTTACTGTACGGTAGCCGCCCGCCCTGCGTCCCAGCCACCTTTGACCGGAGAAGCTGCTGCTGCCTGACCCTAACTCAGGTTCGCCACGGCAGGTGGGAGCGCTCAGCCTGTTTCCCCGGGACTGTGTGGAGCCAGAAACGGGGAGCGAGGCCTCCTGGAGTGCAGAGCGGCGCGCCTGCGCCCCAGACGGCGTGTGTCCCCGTCCGTGTCTGCACGAGCTGTACTGGAGAGAGGTCGGCACGGAGGACTGCACACACCCCGGGCGGCTTATTGTCGCCGAAACTGTGATTCTGTCGTGTACAGCTTTGGAGGAGGTTTTCATTTTCTTTCTTTCTGGGTAGAGGGATTTCTGTCTGGTTTTAACAGAGATTTTTTTGCTGTAGGGCACATGCACTCACTGGCGAGACAGGGAGAAAGCATCCCCCTGAGGGAGGCAGGGGGTGGGTGGGGGATAGCCACGGCCACACCCAAGCCCTTCTCATCCTCCTGGGATTTGGGACATGCACACACATACCCGGTGTGTTTCAAGCTGCCAGGTCTTGGACTTGAACCATGGTCGACTATGGGAATCTAGCACCTTAACAACTAGGCCATCTACTGGGCTCAAGTGCTTTTTTTAAAAAATAATTAATTATTTAATTTTATTCATTTATTTTAATTTGACCAAAGAGAGATACACACAGAGAGAGAGAGGGGGGAAGTGAGAAAGCAAGCTGCCAGGTCCGGTATTCGAACTGCAGTCAGCCATGTGGGAGTGTCCCGTGCCTTAACCACCATGCCAGCTGCTGGTACCCCCAAGTGCTTTTTCTGCAGTGTGGATGAAGCGTGTCATGGAAGTCCTCGGTAGGTGTGATGACGGTGGAGGGCGGTGGCAGCCCTGGTGCTTTGCAGGGATGCGGGGGGCGGGGACGTGCAGCCCTGTGGCCCTGTGGCCCTGCGCCGTCTCAGCTTAGCCACCTGCTCTAACTGCCCCTCAGTCCTGCAGTCCCACACTCCGCAGACTGGGGGAGAGCGGCCTCAGGAGGAGTGGGGCCACATCTGGCCGCCGGGAAGGACGCAACCCCCTCCGTGCTTTCCTGTTTGGATGACAGGAGCCGTGCAGTGTAAGCGAGGGTCGCGTACCAGGCGGGTCGGCAGGCGCCGAGTCCCCGCCACACGCCAGTCTCCCCGTGGGGTCCAGGTCG